ATATACATATACCTCAAGGTCTAAAAATATGCAAGAGAACATATGTTCACTTTTAACATAATTTCCCAGAATGTTGGTGGAGAGAAACTTTATAATGTATTCTCTATAAAAATGATTTTCTCCTAGAGGGCAGCTATTGATAATAAAATAAAACACTTTCTAAATGGAGTAAAAATGATCATGCAATCTAGCCAATAAAACGTACAGCGTAATAAGAAGGTGTGACGTTGCTTTACTTTCTTTAAGAGTAGAGTTAACACTGGTTTCTTTAATGACTAATTTTGACTTTCTCTCTGTTTTTCTTTCAACATTCTTTCTCCGGATGCTTTTGGCAATCCAGATATCCCTTCTACCACCCAGAAAAGAGAGCTTTTGTAGCTCCCTGATTACCAGTCACACAAAGGGCGACATTTTAGACAAATTAGTAACTAACACACAAATTCCCTCCTGTACTGAGTACTTTACCAATAAAAAACCTCTTCAGGGAACTATGTTTTCTAATGAAGACGACTCCAGCCAGACAATTGTATATTCTGAAGAATCTAACACAACTGTGTCATACACACAAAAAATTACTAATCTATTACCAGCAGCTTCCAGCACAAGTCCCCCAGCAGATGCTGACCTGACTAGCCCTTTTCTACAAGAGGACTATGTGCAAGATTCTCAAACTCAGAGAATTTCTACACTGAAACTAATCCATAACCAGGATGTGGGAAGTAGCATCCCCTTTAATACTCCACAGTTTCCCAAATCCGTTGATGTACCATCATTTCCCAAAAAGACTTGCTCACCACCCCCTAACCCAGCGCCTGAGATACACACAGCATCTCTTTCCATTCAGATAGCTCCCCCATCAGGACACAATCCCGAAAGCCACAAACAGCTACCTGAGCTTTCTCCGGAGACTACAAAGATACCTCTTCAGCAAGAGAGACAAAAATCTGCAGTTGCTGCGGCCTCTCAGTCTTCAGACTGCCGGGTGGTACATTACACTTTCCAATCTCTTCTCACAGGCCTCCTGCAGAGACCTTAACTCCATTGCTTTGAGCTTCTTGTATAACCTAATTAATTGTTAGTGTCCAATCAGGAAAGGAAAGGAGAAAGAAACCATCATCCTATTTAAAACCCTACTGAATTCATCAATAAGTTTCTCGATTTATTTTAGTTTAAATATATCACACAGAGATCTTTTATCCAGAAATCATGTTTTTAAAGTTTCTTTCTTCTAGGTATTTATTAAAAAACATCGATGGTCAGGTATCACTTAAGACCATGCAAACCACTTCAGTGTTCAAAGTACTTTTAAGTTTTAAAGAAATATTTTTCATGCCAGACCTTTTAGTACCTGGATTTACTTTATTTACCTATATAAAATCTCTTAAATATTTACTCCCCTGATTCAGACACCACATTTCATCAATGTGCCCAAATCTGTGTGACCATATTAGATCACTTGTCACCCAGGTCTTGGGTACAGACGTAAAGTTGTTAATACCGCTAGTAAAAGGGTTTTTATTATGAGGCTATAGGACAATCTTGTATCAGGAAATTCAGTTGATATAGCCAGGCATTAGAGGAAGTGGAGAATGACCGGTTAGTTTTCTAGCTCCTTCATGCCTTATGCTCAACAGCTGAGGACTGTCAAAAAGAATTTATACTCACAAAAAGTTAGTGACTCTTGACATATTCAAACAACTTAAACTTACATGGTCTCGGAAAGACAGAGACACAAAACAACTATGATATTTTTCTGCTGTTATCTATTTGTCCTCCATTCAGTAGAGAAAACAAAAAACAAACAAATAAAAAACCCCGTTCTTGTTCTAAATTAGTTTTTCTTTCTTCAAGGTAGTCCAGATTAAGAAAATGCCTCTTTGTTCCCTTTTTCACACTTTCCTCCTACTCATCTCACATTCTCCTCAGGGAAACACATTTTGTGACTCTCTTCCTGTGTATAAGAGGCTGTTTCTTTAATGTGGTCATCAGAGCCATGTAAAAGGAGCTCCAGCTAGTCTGAGAGGTAATTTACATCTTTAATCCAGAATATTTCAAAGCTTTTGTGTGGGTGACCAACAGACTGTTGAACTTTAGAGTTTTATCTAGAGAAATTTAAGTGTGATATGACTCACCTGGAGGCATTTCACCTGCTACACACACACACACACACACACATATTAAAAGACTCAAAAACGTGAGCATATCAGGAGGTAGTGAGAGAAATTTAAAAATTAAAATAGTTCTGTTTCCTGTCGACAAATAAATCAATAAAGACTATTTCTAGACCCAGTGCTATACAAACAAACTGATCATATGACCCATAACAATGATGGTTTTTGAGAGAATGTGCTTTAGTTTTTGACGTTTCAATCCCAAAGGATATGGGTAAACCAATCCCATGAGGATTATAGTCACTAGATTATTCCTTTTAATTATAAAGAGAAAAAAAACTCCTTTGAGCAGATAACTCAAGTCCTTTTGCATGATTTACATTATTTAACAGAATTTTCACTGATCAAAAGCAAAACTAAAGAGATTTCGTGTTATATGGAAACCTCTTTAGTAAAACTGCATTATTATGAGAAATTCCATTGACAATATAACACCCAAGACAGCTTTATACTGACTTCCATACAGACTTGTAACAAAATTCTAACACATTATAGTTTCACACTATTATAATTTTACTTCCAATAAAATTTGCAATTATTATTAAAAATTTACTAATAAAAAGATACGTTTTTATTAAATATTTTAAGTTTGGGGTAAATAAGATTTCTGTCAGTTAATTCTAGAGATTTAAAAACCTCATACAGTAAAAAAGTACCACATTTATAATGAGTATGTTTAAATAACAAAAAAGCTTATTACATAAAAATAGGAAATCTGACTTTTTATCCAGGGTTAGAGTTTCTTGACCTGTTAGATTAAGGATGTGCTTTCGAGTATCTACAGCCCCTAAAGTTTATGAAGAATTTTATGTATACCTACATGAATCTGTCATGCAATTTTTCCTTAAGAGTACGATCAACGATTTTCATCAGATTTTTAAGGTACCTGTGACTGAGATAGATCTTTTTATATGGTGGATTTTTAAAGAATTCAATTTAAAGTCTGAGAAAAAAATAATTATGACTTTTTATGAGATCAACAGGCTGCTCGACATCAACTGTTATGAATATGATGCTGGCTAAGAACACTGGCACTTAAATCTTAAATCTTTTAACATTTAAATCTTTACTAGGCAAGATTTCTAAGTTTATATATACAGTTCTCTTTAATTCAGTCTCCATCCTTGTATTAATATCCTATAGTATGTTTGGCTATCTGTCAAACTGGCACCACAACAAACATTCAAAAAAAACTCTATTCTGGAGGTACAGGGAAATAAGAGAAAAATTTTCTCCAGTGTTATTCACTTATATTGAGGTTAGAACGGGTAGCTACAAAAATTTTAATAGGCTATCCACTCTCTTCCTTTTATAGACAACCCCTCCACCATGGTTAACCTCTTGGGTTATATAGCCTTTGTGATATTAAACTTTATTTTTCCTCCTTCAGTTTCTTTCTCCTTTACCTAAGAATTAAAACCAACAGTAGTTCTAACCAACTAGGGTACATTCTAACTATCATCAGCGGCTGATTTTCTTTGTCACTTCATTTTCACACATAGGTACTACCATTTGCACTGCTAGGATATTTTAAAGTTTAATTATTTTAGTATTTTAATGTGAAATTAAGGAAGAGATTCAGTGAGTACAAAAGAAACAAAATTGCCTTTCCACTTAGTTGTTTTTAGTCTGATCAGTCTTTACATCTGTAAGTCAGAAGAAAAAAAAACTAAGGCAAACTGATTAGTATTTTAGGGACATTTACCATGTGGGGACAATAGGTATACTATAAAGATTTTTCTAATGAGGGGAAAACTAATTTTGCTGACCAATAGACAACCTGATATCATTTCACTGTCACAAAAGTTAAAACTTCTGAAAAAAAATACCCCATCACGCCAACACTCTCAAGCACCCACCCCAAATTACAATGCAATGCTGTGTGAAAACTGATCCTGTCTCCAAAACAACTCTTATTAGATTCCTTTTCTTCATGTTTTCATGCGTTTTCTGTACTTGTGGCTGGCACTTAATCCTCTGAATATATTTCCTTAAAGTGCTTGCAAATTAAACTGACGCTTTGCCCTATCGGCTACATTACAAAAAGATCTTTTATTAATTGGGTAACTTATATCTCCTCTTATTATTTTTGCGTTAAACTCAGCTTGGAAACCAGAATGTAACTGCCAATGTGCTGGAGGTAAACGCTTCACAGACACACACACAGACCACACCGGAAGCCTTCTGTGGTACCTTTTAACCTAAACACATTTTCACCAGACTGAAGCTCCAGTCCAGCATCACTTACACTGCCATTATCTGCTGACCTGGGGCCTTCACACCTGCAGAGATCTCCGACCTTTTCACATTGTTTATTTAAACCCCTTCTTGCCCCTGACCACCTTGTCCACGGCAACACCACAGGCTCTCTCACCGCAGACTCCTCCCACTCCTAGAGCAGGGCCTACCCAGCCATCCCAGATAAGTTGCAGATAGGTGCCCCTGACACCACTGATAGATCTGAAACACCTTCTCCAACCTCGGGTCGGAGGTCTTCCGTGGCAGATAGTACCACCTTAGCCGTCCCTGCTGCCGTGCATGTAATTATTCTTCCTTCGACACCATCACTTTTGAAACAGATCTCCAAAGCTCAAAAGGACTGATTTCTTGTCTGCCATCCCATTTTGCTGCTGAGCATTTTTATTTGCATTGGCGTTGATGATTAGCAAACCGATTCTATACAGTCTATCTGGGAAATTCATTACAGTCATCCTCATAAGCCTACTTTGGGCTGAAAAAGTCAGTTATATTCTTCTCATTCATTTTAGAGTCACTTACGTTTACAATGTATTGCCCTAGCTAATGAATTGTGCAGTGATTTGTCTTAATAAGAAGTTATCTCAGAAATTTAGATAATATTGTGATGATGAGATCACAGAGAAAGTACAACTTTTCAAAAATTTAACCCAATATTAAATCCTGGTCGATAACATTTTACCTCAGAGATTGTGCCCTGTGTGAGTAATTCAGATATCCTCATTTCTCACATACATGATTACCGACTGCATGATGCTAATAATTCTTCCTGCTCTCCCTTCACTAACACCTACATCTTTTGAACCCATCTGTCTTATAGGAATGAATGAGGTAAATAATCTTAATCTACACTGCAGAGATTAAGTTTTATAATTTTCGTAATTATTTTTCCTAAGCCATTCCAGTATCGAAATTCATGAACACATTTATTGTTTTATATATCAATAATTGATTTTCCATTTTGAGCAATATATATTTCCCATATATAGTATATCATTTAAATATGTCTATATGACATGCAATCTCTAATAAATGATTTATGAATGGCTAAATTATAAATTATAAAATGCTTCATAATTTTATGGCATAGATTTTCAATAGTATATAATGTATAGATAATGAGTTCAACTTGAAAGGCAAATAACTTTAGGCAAAAAGTGGGAGTTTTTTTCCTAAAATATTGATTTTACAATGAAGTCACAAATAAGCACTTTCATAGACAAAATAGGGCTCAGGGCAACTTTCCTAAGTTTAGTAACATAATAATATGGTGGTTTTTAATAAGGAATTCTTATTTATAATACATCATAACAACAGTATGAAAATTATATTTATGAAGATCAACCAAACTTGATTTGGACAAGGAGGCAAAAATATTCTCAAATAATTCATTACAGGTAAATCAAGATTCCGAGCCATTTGGGTAAGCCAATGCCTCACACTGATTTGAATGCCCAGTGCTCTTCCG